CTTGCTGGGACATCAGCACACAAGCTTCCCGTCCTGAGGACCAGCATCCAAAACACTTATGATAGTGACCAGCTATGTGGGTCCTTTTGATCTAGCTCATCAAAATGTCTTTGCAATATTCAAAACAGCTTGAGGAGAAATATGAATCCTAAAGTAATGATTCTCAGATGACTTTGTTTTAAGATGCAGATTTATGCTAGAGATCAAGTGGCAATTTTTTAATAAAAGTACACAAAAATGTCCTTAAAATCAAACTCTTAACATTATTATTATTATTATTAATTTACCACTGTTTATGAAATTTGGGTAATTTGGGTCCCATTAGTTAACATTAACTAACATTAACAATGAGCAATACATTTGTTACAGTGTTTATTAATCTTTGTTAATGTTAGTTAATAAAAACTGTTTATTGTTAGTTCATGTTAGCTCAGGTTCATTAAATAATATTAAGAGATATAACATTTGAATTTAATAATGTCTTAGTAATATTAAAAAAGTAATGAAAGTAATATTAACTATGATTAATAAATGCTTTAGAAGTATTTTTCATTGTTAGTTTATGTTAATAGTGTAGTTTGTTAACAAGTGGAACCTATTGTAAAGCGTTACCGAAATTTGCTAAGCAAATTAATTTGCCTTGCCAACATTTTTTTTTTATAATGTAATACTATACAATGTACTTATACTAATATGTACTTAAAATCAAGTATTGGCATTTATTATGAATATTTTGCCTATTTATTATATTTATTAGGTATTTTTTATTGGCCCGAATTTATTGCACAAAATAAATGTTTTTCCTCGTTCCAAGTGAACCTTATTTAATGCATTTTGGTTCATATAGTTTTGATCTTGGGTAGTTTTGTTCATGTTTTTCAAAGTATGGGAATGTGATGTACTCTCTGCATGCTGACTATTTTATTTGCCTTAAAAAAGTGTGTGGTTGGATGCACAGCTTGATCACAAGGAGGCTTTTGATACCCATAACTAATGAAAATTTCAATATGACCCAGTTTAAAAACTTGTGTTTTTGGAGCGAGGATATTTGGGCTTGTGTTAATTTGCTCCTCAAGCTTCTGATTGCTCATCAAAGCATCTGGTGGGATGTCTGGCAGCAGCTTCCCTGCTCCCGCTGGTCTCATTTTGCAGGGCAGATAGACAGATAAGAGGAGATGAGAACCCGGGTATCAGCTCCACCATCACTCACTTTGCCTCTGCTCCGCAGAGCCTGTCTGCCAAACAAAAGTCTCTGTCTTGGTTTAATCCTACAGTGGTCTAGTTTTCACTGCCCCATTAATGTGAACGAGTCTTTTGGGAAACCTGTCCGAAAACAGTCATTTTCGCTATTCTGATTGTAAAGTAAAGCTACATAGTTAAAGCTTAATCATTTCAGTATTAGAATTTATGCAAGATGTTTCAATTTTGAGCTTTCGGACAATGGACATTGGGTTTTGGACATACAGTACGTCCTCTGCAAATGTCTCATATTTCTTAATGTGGTGATGCAATGATCATAAAATGCATGCAAAAGCATAAAATGGTCTCAGAGACTATCTACTGACATCTAGACACTTCATTGTCCTTCTGAAAGAGATCTATGAGTCTGCAGCAGTGTAAAGTGTCTGGCCTGTACATGCTATGGGTGCGGATAGACATACCGTCTCACATAGCGCTGTCTCAGCCGTTGCTCTCGCCTCAGGCCTGTAGGAAATCAAAAACTGGACACAGGTCACTGTGACCTAACACAGTATCTGTAACCATTTCCTATTTCATATTGTATAGCTTGTTTTTATATGTGTGTATGAAAATTGAGTTTAATTTATTTGAAGGATTAGTGCCAAAATGCACTTGAAGCAAGACACCGATCGTGAAAATGGCAAAATCAATCTCAATTACGTTCCTTACAGTTGAGCACATTGAGGGTAAATGAAGTTGAAAATTCGTTCAATTAATTATAAGCGTTAAAGAAAGTTTGATAAAAAGCCTGACCTCGTTTAGCGAAGCTTCCTTTTGAAACTTCATTAATATGCCATAATATCCATTGGCAAAATTTGTGATATTATTCCTGTAAGTCATTAAAGTGAAAGTATAGTGGGACTTTAAGAGGGGATCAGACAAGCTATTAAAAATTGTATATCTGTCTTTACACTTTACAATGGCTCTGTAATGCCTCATCTTTTGATTTGAAATGTCTTTTGAACTTAAGTTAGAGGTGTAGACATTAATCCAGCAATTTCATAGCACACAGGTTATCAATTTTCTATATTTGGTTAGATTTGATTCATTAGTATTATCAGGTTGTTAAAAATTAGCCTTGCTTTTTATAGAGGTTTCTGATTTAATCCATTACGCCTCTCATAAAAGATGTCAGCATCCTCATGGAGATAAACGACACCAAGCTCAAGATTGCAGAGCAAGGTGTTCCTTTCAAATAATATTTCATTTCACATACACAAAGAGGGTATTTTAAAAAAATGTCTGTTTTTTTGTCCATACAATCAAAGTCAGTGGTTGACTGGACTATAATGTTCTTGAAAATATCTTCTCTTGTGTTTTGCAGAAGATAAAACGCCATGCAAATTTAAAGCGACCAGGGGCATCACTACACCATTTTTAAAATAAAATATTAAATATTATTATTGATAAATCCTTATATGCCAATGAAGATTATTGTATACCAACCTGAGAAGATTTTTTTCTGATAATATTATATAAGACAGAAAAAAAGAGAGCTAGATGAGGTGAATATTTTTTTGTTTCCATTGTAGAAAACAAAACTTGCAATTGTCTTCTATTGTTGCCAATGACAAAGCAGCTCTTTATTGTGTGTGCCGCTTGTGAACGACTCTGTACTGCAGGTATAGACAGTTTATATCCATTTGTATCCAAAACAGTATTAAAAAAAGAGTTTCAAAATATGGGCAGACTTCATTGCTGGGGTGCCTGTATCACACTTCTGATAAAAGGCTAAATAACCCTGGGAGTGACATAAGGATAAATAATATATTTTTAATAATAATATTCATTTTGGGGCAAACTGTCCATTTAAGTAACCCAAAAGGAAGTTCTTGGTGTTCTGTACAACATTCTGCCCTGAGCTTAATATGTACGCATTATAATGCATGTATGGGTCAAGCTGCAGCGGTGATGGTGGAAGCTTGTCCCAAGGTTAGCAAAGACCTTTCAGCCCCCTCTTCTCCTGATTCCCACGCTCTATGACTGTCCAGCTTCAGGCCACATCCCCGAGACACACATGACATGCCACACTCTCTACCCTGACCCACTTACAGTACAGCACATATATAATGCTCATGTGGAAGGTGGGGGTCAGAGTCATTGCCACCAGCACAGAGGCAGAAATCACAAATCAGCAGAGAGCAGAACGCTGAGAATGAACAGCTACTGTATTGAGCTTTAATGATTTTTCTTTCTTATTGCCAGTAGATTTTTTATACAATTTATCTGATATAGGAATACAACAAAGAGTCAACGGTTAGCTCTGTCCATCTAACCTGACTGTTACAAAGAAGGGATAGAGAGATAAAGAATGGAGACAAGGTTCAGACATTCTCTGACATGGAGGTAGAGAGATGGAAAGGAAGAAATGCAGACAGGCATGTTTCCATGGGCGAAGGGGCAAGATTTTGGGGTGAGAAACTTGCATCATTGGCTGTAGCCAATCAGAGGCCTCGTATAAAATGTTCAAAGGGAGTGTCCTAGCAACAGACAAGTAAATACATTTTCAGCCTCAGATTGATTTCATGTAAAGGTAAAGCATATATTTGTGATAAACCGATGTGTATATGATGCTGACACAAACTAATGAGGTATTTGATGGTCATATTCAAAACTTTTTTGTTTAAAAAGCATTTTCGATCATTGCTAGTGGTCATAAAATACATATATTCACAATATGCATAACATTTTGCTGTCAGCTGCATTTATTTGCATTCATTTTGAGTAGGATACACTACAAATTTGTTATGATTCAAGTTCTTTTTAATACATACTTAGAGTCATTTGTACTTGTGCAAGGAACAATGACTTTGTATAATGAGTGAAAGCGAAAGCTCACCACACCTACATATTCTTTACCAGTAAATTACAGATTTTGTAGCCACCCAACAAGCCAGAGGTCTGGCAACCAAAAGCATTCATATCCTGACATGTATGACCAGACTCCATTTTTTAGGGCTTCATTCATACATCCATCTCTCTCTTCTCCCCTCAGGTGTGAATTTTCTCTCCCATATCCTGCTCATGTACACGAGAGCGAGGGAAGATCGAAAAAAGGAGTGGTTCATCTCTCCATTCATGGTTTCATTCATTTCTCTCAGCCCTTCACATGCTACATGGTTTTAGCTACAACAATGCACAAGCGTACACACATACAACCGCATGCAGCCTAATTAGCCCTGTGAGGTTTATCGTTTGCACCGAATGCCTGTGCAAATGTCACCTGGGAATAAAAGGTCATTTCGGTGAAGATCAAGCTATCACAAGAGAAAGAAAACACTTCTACAGTGTCCCTATATAAGCGCCCCTGACTATTTACCCATAACGCCTCCTTATGCATACCACTGGCCTCAGTTAATGTGAGAGGATGTGTATTGATTAGGCTAATAGGTGTGTTAATTAGCTTTACTAAAGCAGACGGTTAGTTTTACAGGACGTGTATGTGCAATGCAACTGGAGTGTTTTGTGTTTTTGTGTCAGTGTATGTATAGGCTGCCATGTGCTGCAGTGAAAGAGGACGAGCCCCAGTTGACCGATCGTGGGATTGAGAAAGTAGAACACCCCTTTCCCTCTCTCCTCCAATCCCTTGCTTTTTCTTCTTCCGCACCCAGCCGGCTGCGACGGATGCCGGTACAGCATCACCTTGGTATCGCACTAGCACATCAACCGTACCTCTCTCTACCCAAGCAATTAGGATGAGACACAACAAGGCTGACACACACAAAAAGCAGGAAACAGAAATAGTTAGTATGCCCGCTTACCTGCTCGGCGTGTTTCAGGGAGATAACAGCGGTCCAGCTCTTTCCGCAGGCAAAAGGAAGAAGAGAAAGGATGGAGGGAATAAAACAAAACAGAATAAAAAGGGGAAAAAGAGCAGGGCCAGAAACAACACTCCTTTATCCCAGGGAGCTGAGACTGTGGGTTTCCCTAAACGCACGGCTAGTGTCTGCTTAAACCACAAGCTCACGCTGAGTGTGTGCGTCTCTCTCTCTCGCTCGCTCGCTCACTCACATTCAGGCACCAAATGGTCTCTCTCACTGTCTCTCTGCTTTCAAGACAGTCCTGCCTAGCAGCTGCTCATCTATGAGAAATAGAACGCTCTGTTCCTCTCTCTCTCTCTCGCTCTCACAAAGACCCCCGCTAGCCTCTCCCCTTCACACCCCCTCCCCCTAACCAACAACTGACTGCTGGTGTAGGACTGGGGTGGGAGGGGGCGGGAGTGTGCGAATATGCGTGCGTACCATTTGCACGATCGCCGTGTTTGTTTGTGTGTATAAGGGTGGGGGGATTTAACTCTTCTCCTTCAGGCCACAACAGCAGGTGTGTGTGTGTTGGTGGGTGACATGGACGTGGCCCCTCCGAGAAGGCGATGAGTTGCGGTGCCGATGGGGAGAGGTGAAATGAGGCATGTCTAAGTGGCCAGGATAGCTATGGTTTGTAGTCGTCACACGATTCATACCACTAATGTATACTTGAATGTATCCAACCATGTAGACTAGCACAGGACTGATGTTGAGGGAAGGTATGAAGATGTCTTCAGATGTACAGTAAAATGCATGTTAAATCCAAGCAAGCCAAGGTACTTGATTATAAAATAACCAAAATATTTTCTACAGTAGGCTGTAAAAAAAGATTTTTGAAGTTGTAGGTTTAAGAAAAATTATTGGGTACGAAAATTCTGTTTTGTCTTTTCTACTTCAAAATTTCATGCTTAATTCTATGTATTACTTGCCATTTCTTTGTAATGTTTTGTGAAATTTACTAACAATTTCTGAGACCAAAAATATTTCTACACTAAATGTTTCAGTGAATGTCAATGGCCAACTTCCATTTCGTTTGCAAACTAACATTCTGTATATTGATTTGTTTTTAAGTACTGTAAATAAGCAGATGGCAACATAAATTGAGGTTATTTGTCAGTGATACTCTTTATGTTGACATATTTGTTTTTGAAACCGGAAGTTGGGAACCATCTTAATAAAAAATGTAAAGAAAAAAGCCAATAGTGTTTAGTGTATGCGAGATGATGACATTGCTAGTCAAAAATTATCATTCTAGAAAGAATCTGATTGAACACAAATGTGGATACGCCCCTAAGTGCAGGATGAGTCATCAATATTTTCAGTCTGAAGAAAAAAGAGTGTGCCTTTGCCATTTTGTCAATAGAAATACACTAGCTCAGTGTTTCCCAAAATGGTGTTTCATGAGGGAACTGCTGGGGATTTGTGAGTTGATGATAAGCTATTAATTAATTAATTAATTACATCATAAAAATGTAAAATTAAAACAATAAATAACTTTTAAATAAAAACAAAAATAAAGCACTTGCAAAAAAAATTTTTTTCTTTTCTTTTTGTTTACCTGCATACAGTATGTCATGTAACCAGTGCCTGACATCAGAGAATTGTGAACATGCAAATGTGGTGTTAAATTATTGAAATACTAACTTGAAATCTCAGGGGGTATTGCAAATAAATATTAATGTCATAAGGGTTCAGCTGAAAAAAGTTTGGGGGTTTCTGCACAAGCATATAGATGACTAAAAGCCTCAAAACTCAGAAGGTGGTTTGCTTTTTCTGATGAAAAAGTTCCAGTTTAACAGAGTTACTCACTTTCATTTCGTCAAAATGTTCAGGGAGACGGCATTGTGTTTTGAGACGTCAGTGGGTGAATCATACTTTGTGGAAAAGTACAACAAATTGTTTTGACGAAATTGAGAAGAACAAGAGCATGTGGAGGCAGAAGTGTTTGTGTGTGTGTGTGTGTGTCAGTGTGAATGCTTTTAGACATGATTACCCCCAGTGTGAGTCTCCACCCTAATGGTAGTGCATTAAAAAAGAGTCAGACAAATGTATATCTAATTATAGATATAAGCCTTCCTGTCAGCGTGCTCTCCCCTAAATAAGAGGATATTGTGAGGTTTCACTTTCAGACTTACTCACATATTCTTCCTGTTGCAATGTGCTTTACTCTTGTCACAGTCTGATGAATCTATTATTTAGATTTGAATTCTTGGCTGTAGACAGAATCTCAAACCATTCACAGCAAATTTAAAGATACTTTCACAAGTTCACACTTACATATAATAAATAGAGTAAAGGTTATGCATTTTTGGCGTGCTGTCCGAGGGAAGAGCTCTGAGCTCGGAATTTAGGCCTGAACCCAGAGTACCCCCCGGTTTGAGATAGGAATAGTTAGTATTAGTACAATCTGTATTGTATAAAACGCTTTACAAACAAATAAATAAATAAATAAAGGAGTTAGAAGTGAGGAGATGGGGTGGTGGAGGGATGCTGGAAAACTGTCAAGGAACAGCGGTAAGTCTGCTGTGTATATATACCTCTTATCTTGGTAATTGGGTTGATTACTGATTGTGCTCCTCTCGTGTTAATTAGGTTAATTATCTGAACGTGCTGCTCCCGGACTTTGTTAATAAAACATCATAATGTTTTTATATTGAAAATATACTCGTACTTTGTATGTGATTATTTTGACTATACTGCTAGGTATGTCACTAATTTGCAAAGCGATATCATAATAAAGAGGACAGAATTACATTACAGGATTAATTTGAAAGTAAACAAGATGTTTAGATTGTATGAACAAAATCTAAGTGTTGCTTTTTCATGCAAAAGATGCCTCCATGATGGTACGGTGTTGGGTGGTTGCTTGGTCATTTTAAAGGGGTCATGAACTGAGAAATCAAAATTCAACATATAAGAGGTCATTGTACTATAAAGACATCCTGTAAGTTTCAGAGCTCAAAACTTTCTCGTTAGTCTAAAAAAAGCTTAAATTGAAGCCAATCTGTCAAAACTACAGGTTGTGGAATGTGCCACTTTATGACGTAATAGTGAGGCTAAACCCCGCCTCCGCAGAAGATGACCAATGCCTGCTTCTACATCACTGCCTGTTTAGCCCCGCCCACCGATTCACGCATGTAGTGTAAATAACGAGAGAGGCAAACGCAGGTCTACACAGAAACCAAATGATAAAGATGCTCCGAAGACAACAAGAC